CCCCCCCATACACACACACACACAACCGTTTGCACCCATTAGTATAAGCTCTGATTTAGCATTATCTATGCAAATAAGCCCTCAATAGAAGTTTCCCTTTTTAGGGGTATGCAAGGAAGAGGTGGCTACACATGTCAGGGGATAGCCCTTCTCCATGAATCCTGAAAACTTAAGTAATCTAGATTAAAATCCTGATAATTCGTGCGAGTCTATATTAAATGTATGCCCTGTACCAGCTAAATAGTCTGCCATTTGGTTGTCTTCTTTATAGACATGCACAAAGGACACCTGCATTCTCACTTCTCTTATCATCTGCATGCAGTCTGTTATCAGCACTTGTTAATATGGCATGGTTGTTTGACCTTTTAGGCAATCTATTACCACGTTTGAGTCTCCTTTGGTCATCACTTTATGAAATCATCTATTCTTTACTATAGAGATGGCTCCTCTTGCTGCCCATACCTCGGCCATGTTGACTGCTGTGTTGCCTATTGGTTTTTCTCTTCCAAAGGTAATGCTTCCATTGCTATCTCTACCTTGACAACCTATAGCTGCCTGCTCTTCTTTTGTTATTGATGTGTTGATGCTAATTTTAACCACCTGTTGGTTTGGTTGCTTCCATAAGATTCATCTTTGATTTTTGATATTTGACTGATACTTCGAGCCTGTTGGCTCTAATAGGTATTCTTTGAACATGGCCCATGCTCTTTTTGTTTCTGGTTTTCCATATGGCCCCTAATAGAAATGAAATTGTTTCCCAATAATGAGTGATCTTTTTACGTCATTTTTCCTTGTTGAAGAGTTGATATTTCTCCATCCTTTGGACCAGGGGAGTATGGTTCAATTGTAGCCCAAATTAGTTTTACCATCAGGCATGTGCAAAATATATGGTTCATATTTTCCTTGTACCCACAGCTTGGGCATTCAGGGTTGATATTTATCCCTCTCATCTTAAGGAATTCCTTTGTTGGGAGTTTTATATTTATTTTTGGGTATCAGTTGATTTTCGAGTGGGGCCCATGAGTTCATCTAAATCCACAGCTATTCTATAGGCTAAACTGACTGTGAAATCACCTTTGGGATTCAATCCCCATATTAACTGACTGTGAAATCACCTTTGCTTGAAGGTCTAGTCTTAATGGGGTAGGAATTAACTGTTCCAATTCCACAAGTGTCTTATTTATCTGATGATTTCTGGGCTCTGTAAAATGGAGGAAGACCATACATGTGAATACCCACAGATAATCCCTCTAGTCTTCCTTTGGTTCATTGGAGGAACAGCCAGCAGGAGTGCTCCAATGATAAAGTTGCAAATGAACTTTCTCGATAGATCAGAGGCCCTTCTGAAGAACTCTTTGGGTCTTTTGTTTTGAAGACAAGATGAAAAGAAATTGATCGTGGATGATCTTCTTCACTCTGACCCCAATCCATTGGTTTCTATACCAAGGTGCCCAGGCCTCCATTGCCTTGATGTTTGTTATTTTGCCTTCAAAATTCAAATTGGCCAACTGGACAACCTCCGAGGAATTGTTTTTCTCAAGTCCACCCTAATCACATCTTTTTCAAGGAAAAATTGATTACCAACATATTAGAACTTGACCTACCCATCAGCTGGCCAGGATGGTTCTTCCACTTATTCTTTCTATAATCTCTCTCATTTCACAATTGGTGATTATCACCACTTCACACCATCCATCATCACTTCTCAGGTGAGCAATGCAGTCTAGAAATCCATGACCGGAGAAGCACTAGCTGCTAGGTTGAAGTTGTGGAGCAAGAGAGTATTGACCAGACTTTAGTACATAGAATTATCAATTACGTGTTGCCAAATAAAAGTAAAATGGATATACAGCTTGTCACTATAAAATCTGGGCTGACAAGTGTGAGAGAGCAGGTTCAACTCTGAGAGCAACCACTTTATGCAAAAAAAGAAAAAAAGAAGAAAAGTGTCGAAGGTTAGGTCCATATCCAGTCCACCTCTTCCAAGACCTTAGATAACTCGGAGTCTGGGACCAACATTTGGTAGTGGCTTTTTTTTTTATATTTTTTTGGACATACAAGTTCTGACTTTCAGGTTTTTTTCTGGTTTGCTTCAAGAACAGGTATCTAGTGACAACATTCAAGGTAGTCCCAAGAGGAACAGAAGGTGCTGTGAGTGTTGAAGGAACCATTGCTGGACTTCTAGCTTCAACGTTGCTTGCTTATGTTGGCTGTCTTGTGGGTCAGGTATCTCTGTCTCTCTCCCTCCACCCTGGTGTACATTATCCATGGTTACTATTTGCTCTTTATGTTATCCCTCCTGTATTGTTTTGTGAACATATCAAATGCTTGTTTGGCATTTATTATGAGGTGTTGCAGTATTAATTCAAGGATTATATTATGTCACTCTCCTGCCTATTGATCTCTTCTTCTGCAAATAATTCCTAGGTTAAAGGAGCAATGGAAATGAATTTTGGAAGGCTCATCAAATTAAGGCCAGCCTTTTTGTCCCACTAGTCTTATCATCCAATATCCATGTGTTGGAGGGTGAGATTTCTTTTGTTCAATAGAAAGAGTTGTTGATGAAATGGTAAATGACAATGAATTGGTGCATAGAGAAAGGACAGGGAGAGATAGAAGGGACTGCTGCTTTGTGCAATGTTTGTATGTGACCTCACATATGAGAGTAAGGGTAGGTGTGATCATGGGCAAGGTTGGGCTGGGCTTTGCACCTATGATAAGGGCTATAACCTGGGCCCGGGCCCAAGCCTGATTTTGGGCCTATGTCTTTTACATGTAAAATATTATATATATACTATTTATATTGTATGGCGTATAATATGCATATAAAATTTATTTTATACATTATATAATTTAATATATTATATATAACATATATTATAAATGTCATATTATAATGTTTATATATAAAATATACAATATAACATAAAATAACATAACTATATAAGTATAAATTATGTATAAAGTACATATATTTAAATATGTGCACCTAGCTTTGGCTTAGGCCGGGCCTAAACACAAAACCTTGGCCAAAGCCCGGAATTTCCCGACCAAGCTGAAAATGATCACCCGAGTGGTAGAGATTCCATTATTTTGTTACTTGGCATAGTTGCATGTTTTGATCTCCCATATGCTCTGAACTACCAGGAAACTTTCAAACTCCATATATCTATACTACTTTAAAAAGTACAAATAGCCTCAATAATATTTCTGGAATTTTTTGAGGACAAAATTTATTCCTCCATATTTAAATTTATTCATAAAAAAAGAGGGCAAATAGGGTAATTGGTTATTGATATTAAATGACTTGAAAAGAGGTAATTTAAAGATATTCAATGCATTCAATCCAAAATTTAAGGTATTAACTTGCATTCACCTTCATTGAATCCTATATTTAAGGCATTTAAGGTATTAACTTGCATTCACCTTCATTAAATCATCTTGGGTCAAATGGGACAATCCATGTTGTCACAATTAAATAATAAAATTCAAAAATAGATGAAATGCAAAAAAAAATATAGAAATTAAAAAAATGGGAACATTTTTAACATCATATATTCTGCATATTAAACAAGAATAAGTATGATAAATAAGAAATGATTTTATTAATGATGGAAATGGAATGTAAAATTTAAAACTAATTGGAAATAAAACTATTTTCCTATTTTCACTCATTAAATATCATATCCAAGGTATATTCTCTCATTAAATCTTATATTTAAGATATATTTTTCTCATCATTAAATTCTACTAGTTAAATCCATAACATTAATATTAATAGTATAAAAATAAATATTTAAAAAAAAGAATTTAAAAACAAAACCATTTTCTTCCCTTCCGGTGGTGGGTAAGCAATTCTACCATATCGGTCAAATGGGTTAACAAATAATGCCATAATTAAATAATAAAATAAATTAAATATATAATACAAATAAAAATAAAAATAAAAGAATTGGGTATATCTCTAATTTTGTATATTCGTTATACTAAACAAAAAAAGTATGAAATGTAAGAAGTATTCTTATTAATGTTGGAAATGGAATGCCAAATTTAAAATCAACCTAGAAATGAAATGATGCCATAGTCAAATAATAAAATTTTTAAAAATAAAAAAATACAAAGAATCACAAAAATAAAAAATAGAGAAACATTTGGGCACATATCTAATGTTATATATTTATAAAAAAATTAAATATTGGGTACATATCTAATATTATACATTCATTATATTGAACAAAAATAAGTATTATACATAAGAAATAATTTTATCAATGATGGAAATGTAATACAAAATTTAATGTCAACATAGAAATCAAACTATTTTTCTTTTTGGGTGGTGGGTTAGTGGGTTGGGTCAAATGGATTAATTAATGATATGATAGCTAAATAGTAAATTTTTAAAAAATAAAAAGTACAAGTAATCAAAAGAATATATGAAAAATTATATATTAATTATGTCAAACAAAAATTAAGTATGATAAGTAGAAATTATTTATATAATGTAGATGAAATATATAACTTAAAACTAATCCGAAAGCAAAGCTATTTTCTTATTTAGATGGTGGGTCAATGATCCAACTTTTCAAAGAAACTCATGATGTCATAATTGAATAATAAATATTTAAAAAAAGATAGAACACAAAAAATGAGAAAAGTGCAGAATTTTGTCGAAAACATTTGGAAACATTTCTAATGTTCTATATTCATCATATTAAATAAACGTAATTGTTAAAACAAGTATTTACGTTTAGTTTTAATTATATTATTACTTTTATTAATTTTCAAATTCTATCTTAACCATGATGTATCTAAAATTCAAGTAATTAATATGAAGAAAAAATTCTCACGTGCAATGCACATGCTTAATTACTAGCAAAGGAAAACACTTTAAACTGCTTCTTTATGAAAGAAATCATAATATCCTCCTAACCATGTCTAGCAAGTTCTCTTTGGTTGACAAAGGTTCCTATTTTTTGGATAGAACAGTCTAGGTTGGGGAATAGTAGTAAAGCCCATGTCCAAGCCTAGAATACCAGCTTGCCACAAGAAGCCCAGACATAGCCTACAACCTACTCATGACCCATTTGTTTTGTTTCTTACAAGGAGGCCACATTAGCAACCAATTAGATCTAGATCCAAGAATATTCTTGATCAAATTCCAATTAAAACTGAAATATAATGAGTATATAATGGAATGCAGGGGGAAATAGAAGGCGTTCAAGCATTGATCCAATTCTCTTCTCTCTTCATTTTTATTGTAAGGAGGCTGCTTCACCCTTGAAGAGAACCCTAAGTTGAACAGTAACTCAAGTACTCAACAAGTTGGTAACAGAGCCATGGCCAACACCAAAGATGAAACATTCCTCAACAAGTTGATGAAGAATAGACTGGGTTGAGTAGCAGGAAGCAGGGGAGGGGTGGAGGTAGAGCCTATAGATGGAGTTAGTGTCATGGAATGTGGGGGACTTAAGAGAGGAAAGAAGAAGGATTTCAATGAGGAATGTTCCAAGAAATCACATCCGAGATGCAGTGTTGCTGCAAGAGACGAAGCTGGAGACATTCAACTTGAGAATGGACTAACAGTGGAGAATGGGTGGAGGTGAATGCCATGGGTCTATCGGATGGTCTAGTGGTTATCTGGGATCCAAGGGTTCCCTTCTGCAATACATTGAAATATTTGGAGAGAGAATTTTTTGAAGACAAAGTTGGCCAATGAACAGGATAGCGGCAACAATTAGCAGATCTGTTGCAAAGTGGGTGTTGATTCTACCAGAATTTAGACAAGTCACCAACGAGGATCTTGGATTACTCTTGGGGATCGACCTGGTAATCTAAGGAAGAAGAATTTAATCTAAGGAAGAAGAATCAATGTTCTAAGAACCGGACCGGACATCGACCTGGTAAAGGAAAAGGTTTATGGATTAGAGGTTCAACCGAGGTTGAACCAGAGGTCAAACCATGCTGATGTAATAATATATATATCGAAAAAATACTAAATATAAAGGAAAATTAATCCAAAATAATCCAATATAGAAATAAAATAACAATTAAAACTTTCAAAGTTTAAGACAATATGTCCACAATGAAAACAAATACATCAACAAACAAAGTTTAAGACTCAATTCTAACAAATTAGATAGTATAAAATTATAAATTAAACACAATTAGTTATCCTAATTCCTAAATTATAATATTTAATTATTTAGTTTATTTCTACAAAATTCAAAATATGATATCAATTTATTGAAGTTTAAATTTCACTATTTATGTATATCTGTTCCAAGCTTTGAAGGGGGCTTAGTCTAACCTGGAACTGAACAAGTAGGTGGGTTGTCTTGTTTATTGTGTAAGAATTTGGTGGATTGAAAGCTTGAAACAAAGATCAATTGAATTTGAGCAAACCTGTAAACAAAACTAATGAATGCTAACAAATTTTCAAATTCAGAAATTAAAAAATAAATATTTAAAATTTAAAATAAAATAAATTGTCGGAAATTGTAGAAACAGGCACCAAGTGGTGGGAGGAGGAGGAGGAGAAGGAGAAGGAAAGAGGAGAAGAGAGGAACCATTGTCATGCAAGGAGGAGGAGGAGGCGAAGGAGGAAGCAGAGGAGAGAGAGAGAGAGTACCTGACATCGTCGACTACTGCTTGAGGCGGTCGGTGGTGAGGTAGCGAGTCGTGAGTGTTGCTAGCAGTGGAGGAGGCGATGTTCGGTGATGGCTGGAGTTCGAACGAAAGAGAAAGAGGGACGAGGGTTTTGGGGATTTTGATTTGGCTTAGGTTTGTAAATTAAGACCTTAAGTTTTGTTTGGTTCAATTTTGCATTTTTTGTCTTCTTGTGATAAAAGTTGGGGTGTAACAAAACCGGCTGGTTATGCAAAATCGGGGCCGATTCACCGGTTCCCAGGTTGAGCCGGACAAGTGGGCAGTTTTTTACGGTTTTTTAATAGAACGGTTTTGGGGGTATGTCTGAACCGGCGAGGGGCCTGGGTCACAGTTCGTCTGGTTCAACCAGTCGGTCTGGTCCGGTTTTTAGAACATTGAGAAGAATACAACTTTGTTAGGCAAATGGCTTTGGAGGTGGCCCCTAGAAAGGGACAGACTGGCACAAAGTTGTAAGAAGTGTGCATGGTAATGTAGGGCAATGATTGGGATACTGGTGTGTGTCAGTGGGCTACGCTGATCTCCCTGTGGAAGGCTATTCATAGTATTATTCCTACTTTTTT